TCAATTAATCAATGCTTTCCTATGGGGAAATAATCTGATGCTGGAGGTCCTCATGCAGAGCGTGAGAACGTCCAGCGGCAGATACCGGTCTAATTCCCCCAAAATTAGACCTGCTTTCTAGTACATGCTTGCTACCATTTTTCCATGAAATAAGACATCCCCTGAAAATAAGCCCTAGTGCGTTTTTCGCTGGGAAAATTAATATAAGACCCACTCTTATTTTCAAGGGAAAGACGGTATTAATGCTTTTTTCTATACTTGATATATTTTTTATATTATAATATCTTAAAAAATCATTTTAAAAAGTTTATCCAAAAATGTTAAATCGAGGACAATGTTTTAAGCTAAAAAAGACAGTCCCGGCACAGAGCATTAACATGGTATGACTCAAGCCAAGCTTCCCAGATTCAAACAATATATGCTCACAAGGGGATTGAAACCGTATCGAATGGGACAACACTATCTCTAGACAGCAAATTCCATATTCTTATTGTTCTACAGTCTCAGGCAGGTCATATGATGTATACACTGGCTTTTCTTCCTTTGCGTCATTGTGTTTTATGGCGCGTCTCTGTACTTTTTTCCTGTTACAGGATTTATTTATTTATTTATTTTTATTCTGAGCAAAGAGATTGATTACCTGAACATCAAAATACTGTACCAACGATTACACTATACGTCAAGTCTTTGCATAATATGCAAATGTGTTTATAAATTTACCCTTAAAATAAATGGATTTGCGTTTCACGAGCATGAGTACGATCAAGCAATGTTTGAAATTCCGTAAGCAATTTTTTTTTTGGCACCAATCTTGACCTGTCGGCTGCATCCATGCTAATAAAGTTTATTTATTTCATTAAGAGTATATCAGAATTAAGACAGAATAATGGTCAATGGACATTTTTGTTTGATAGAACAATAAAATGATAATACAACATTTAGTGTAGTCTTGTTCAACAAGAGCTAGTCCTATACAATGCTAGGGTAAGCAGGTGAAGTTTTAATAACATTTTTAACATGTTGAGTGCATCCTAGTATTCCAATAAGAGTCTAGGTTTGGTATCTATTTTCTCTATCCTGAATGTTGTAAGGTCAAAATGATGTTTATGCAAGAAAGTGCTATTTATCCAGAGTAAATTTCCCAAATTAAATGCTAAAAGAATATCAGGAATTTGCTGTTATGAAACTTTAAAAAACTCATTATTCATTAAAAAAATGCATATTGGCTGTAATGTATTCCATCCCAATATATTTATGACAACATAACTTGACAGTGTTGTATCACTTTTTACTTTATTTCAGTATAACCAATGTAATTTAAGTACACAATTTAGAATATAAGTTTCATTCAGAATACAAACTTTGGCTGCTGTATAGGAGACCAGGGAAAAGAAAAGATAAAATGTAAAATAATGGCTTATTTAATAAAAGTAAAAACCTAAAACATTGTATGATATTTAAGTAAAATGCATTGTTGTGTAGTATTTTAATATTTACTATCAAATATACTATTTATTTTAAACATAGTACCTGGTTTATCACTACAGGAACACAGCCGTTTATAGTATATAACTTAATGTATCTCTCTGTTTCAGAATATCTGCACACTACTAGCTGTGTGAGAGGGTTATGGATTAAGGTTTAGTGTAAACAAAATAAAACACACCAATGAACCTCTCTGTGGTCTGACGGTCATATAATGCCTCGTTTCCACTGAGCGGTAAGTTTCGGTTCGGTAGAGTTTGGAATGGTTAGAATGGTCCAGCCTATTCAGGTGAGCGTTCCCACTGCAAGTGGGACCACCAGGGGGCATGCTGGGTTTAGACCAAATGCCTAGCGTGTAATTTGTCATGAGCATTGATGTTTTCCTGTCCGCCAATCAATGGATTGTATAGTGTGACGCCGGTAGCTCTGCCCTAACCATACCGTATAATTTCCTGTGGACCTACATCTCCCTCCTTTTTTTTTCCCCCGAGTTATATATATGTTAACAAGCTTTCGGGATCTCCAAGGATACAGGACTTAGAACGTTTAACAGAATATGGACTTAAATCCCGGCTGAAATACAGAAGCTTCCAGCTCCAGAACATGGAACGCATGACATCAGACACCCGGGAACGATTGCAGATCGGCAGTTGGCGCATGGAAGAACAAATAGATTGAAAAAGACAATTACAGTGATATTTAAGGCGTAAGGAGGGGAGGGGAGTTTTATATTCATTGTGAGCTGTTACGTGTAAAAAAGCAAAATCCCTGAGCAAGTCACTAAATCAGACGAAACGCGTTGAGCCACTAGTCGGGACTTTTCAGTATTACATCTGCTGTTTGAAATCTGAATGCAAGTTAAATAAATTGTTTTAAACTACATTGCCTATTTGCAGTACAATTGTATGTTTTTTTTATGACATCTTATTACCACTGAAACTCTATTGTGATCTGGACAACAAGAAATGTAACCCTTTGAAAGTAGATTCTTTATAAAGCACCATGTCAACATTTAAATTGTGAGTGGCCAATTGGCACATAAATTGCACATTTATTGCACGCTATGTTGTGTTGCACAGATATTCCATACTTTTGTATATATCTATTTTGGCAGACATGAGGACGTCGTCAGGGCATTTTAAACTTCTTCTGATACAATGAGGTTATTTTCTATGTTATAAGTTTTCACTATGTCCACTTTGGTATGTTAGCACAAACCCAATTTCTTCTATTGCATCATGATAAGCTTGCCAAGTCAGGACGAACAGAGATCACGAGTATTGGTAGACTAGTTAGATCGAAACCAAAAACAAGAGCATGCTATTTGCTAGAACTGTGAAATGTCAATGTCATGAGTCTAAAAATAAATGAATACATTGTGTGGGTCTAAACTTTGTTTATTTCCCCATTTCCAGTTCATTTTTTTTTTTTTTTCTTTGCTTAAATCTTGTTCTGGGAAATGAAAACACTGTGATGAGTTATGGCCCAGTTTACAGAGAATGTAAAATGCTTAACTGACCTTCCAAAGGGCATAATCCTAACAATATGTAGACTGAGAAACAAAGTAAGAGGAAGAAGAAAAACAGAGGTTTAGTTAACTCCAAATTGTAGGGAATGCAAATAAGAATTAAAAATGTATTTAAAGGAACACTCCAAGCAAAATAACCACTGCAGTGTGTTGTAGTGGTTACATTGCCAGGTGGGCACTGGGAACCCACCGCACCAAGTAAATAGTCAAACCTATTGCTAACACTTTGACTAGCACCAGTCCCTGCCTTTCGGCAGCCATTGATGAAAGACTTATCTCATTGGCTGAAACTGATCAGCTGACGCTCTCGACCAATAGGCTGACCCTGTACTGCAGGGCTTGGCCCAGGACAGCCAATGGCAACTCCTTGGAGGAGTTTCTGGCTCTGAGTAATGGAAAGAGAAAGATAGGAGCGGAAGCTGGTGGACCCCAGGTAAGATGACAAATCATTAGTAACTGGTTTGACTACTTACATTGGAGTGGTAATAGGGCAGAGTGATGTAGTGGTTATGGTACTGGGAGTTTTTCCTGAAGTTATCCAAGATGTAACTCTAGCTTAGTTGGCGTATTCTCCGATGCCAGGTGCCTGAACTTTGACATTCAGATTTACACTTGGCATCCCCTTACCCCTACAACTTTAAAATGTATACAAATACCTGCAACTTTTTAAAACAAAAAAGATTTATTGTACAAATCTGTAAACTGTATGTTAGAGTCCCTCAGGCCCCATTAGAGACTACAATGCAATATAATGGGCCCTAATGGAGGGATCTTTCTAACACTCTGGCCACATTAGGTCTCTGATAGCCAGTCCAAGTTGAATCTTCTTTCCTTGATTGCTGGGTGGCTGCTGTGGTTGGCAGACTGGCTGCCCGGCTGCTGTGGTTGTCAGATAGGTCTGGCTGGCAGGCCTCTTACATCCCCCAACCCCTTTAGGCATCTGTTTCTACCCCAACCCCTTTGTGTGTCTCTTTTTCCTCTTCCCCTCTGTGTGTCTCTCGCCCCCCCCCAGCCATTATGTGTGTCTTTGTCCCCCAGTTCTTCTATGTACCTCTTTGTTCCCCCTTGCCCCTTTGTGTCTCTCTTTGCCCCCTGTGTTTATTTGTGCCCCCCAGACCTTTTGTGTGTGTCTGTACAATATACCAATTCAAAGAAAAGGTAGTACAGCATGTTGGTGTTTCATATAAATGAGTGAGGGTTTTCAAAAAGTGTTTCCCCGATCACTTATAATCCAACCAATAATATACCTCCCAGTGAATACATACAGTATATACTCATACACGAGATTCACTTGGTAATATCCTATACGTTTCTGTGAAACAAAAAAAGAACAGAACATAGTGTATTCTGGAGCCAATACAAATAGAAAAATTCTTATTGAAACTTATTAAACTCACAAGTAGAGAGTGGTGCCAGGCTCTGTGTATGTGGTGCCTATAGGTGCAAGGTGCCCAAATAGGCTTCGGATTCCCTTTGATCAGGTAAGCACAGGTATCTTGTAGAAAATCTAGATTTATTACAGTAAGATGTATCAGTAGTTTTGTGTGCAATTATTCCCTATCTCACATAGCTGACGAATCGATTTTCAAATTATACTTTTCCAGGCAATGGAACTACAAATTATGCATATACGCTCCACAAAGAACATTTTGGGTGCAATTCAAATATTTAACATCCCTTTTTTTTTTTTTTTTTTTTTTAAATAAAATTAAAAATAGATAATACCTAAATGGCATAAAGATCAATTATGTAAAAAATGTTAGTCTGAAACATAAAATATAGGACATTGCAGAGAAATTATGACATATTTTTTTGTATTTTAAACAAAATGACTTTTCATATAAGGGCAGAATCTATTCATGTTAATTTATTTAGACAAAAATAAATCTATATACAAGACTATAAGTGGGAGGTGTTTAAATAGGGTTGGGAGACAATTTTTCTCCTATAAATTTGTCTGCTAACAACAAACTCGAGTTAGAACGTTGAAGGAACAAGAGGAGCCAGGATCTCAGTTTCCATGTGGTCGTCTACACTCATCGTATTTTTCCTGTCGATCAGGCTAATTAACACTGAGAATTCATGTCCAGGTAAGTCACTAACAATTATATGGCAAGAGGATATTTTATAGTTACAACGGAATCTCAAAAATTATCTTTGTGACCATTCTACTTGTTCTTAATGCTTTATTATAGAATTTTAAAATGGAGCTATCACTCCCTGTGAGTTTTAATAGCCTTTCTTATATCCTACTTAACAAATATTTATTTATAAACTGTGAAATATAGAATTAAATATAGAAATGTATAACTTTTTATCGCCATCTTACTTCCCTGTCAGCCATTGTTGTAAACTCTGATATTGATATATAAATGGTGGAACTGCACTCAACCCCTTTCTTTGGAATCTCAGGGTGCTGCTGGATCAGTCCCAGTGCCAAAGAGACCATGCATAAAGTATAATTGTAGAAAGTAATCCAGGCACTCCAAATTGTTCCAAACTGTAGGCAATTTTATTGGACCCAATAAACTTGGGTTCAATAAAATTGCCTACTGTTTGGAACAATTTGGAGTGCCTGGATTACTTTCTACAATTGTTGCAAACTCTGTCCCATGCACCTGGCAGTCAGCAGACAGAGAAGAAGTTTGTGCCAGGACTGGATTTTGATAAATTTGCTGAACCCTAAATATAAAGTATTTTTTTAAAATGGACCATCACACAAGACGTTATAGGTGATGCTTAATGGTTTGTTAAATGGTGCAATATTAAGAGAGTGACAGTACCCATTTAAAATATATTACCTATTTTATTTATATTGAACAAAGCATTGTTTGCAGTTGATGTACATTTTTTTTAGATTGGCAATTCCACAAGAACTGGTATTGAAGTTATTTAGAGTGATCTGCCTGAGAAAATATATATATATATATATATATATATATATATATATATATATATATTTTATTTATTGCATGAAATTCACCTTGTTTCTGGTGGGTGTGTGTGTGTGTGTATATATATATATATATATATATACCAGAAACAAGGTGAATTTCATGCAATAAATAAATCCCATAATAAAGTGCTACTGAACCACATTTACCACCAATAAACACAACTACTTTTGTACTGGTTTGAACTTAAGAGTCTACACAGTTAACATTCCCTTTTATCTGTCAAATAGATAAGGAGCAGTTGGATAAAAATCAGAAGATTCCTGGCACCCAAAGGTTGACCGTTCACCTCCTACTGAGAAAATGCTGAAATTTCACATTCTCATACAGAGACGTCCAACCTTTGTGGTCAGTGATAGACTCCATGAACTGGGTACAAATTAGTCCACATAGATCAGTGGTTCCAAACCTTTTTTCACTCTAGTGCCCTTTGGCAGCCCATTTCCATATATTGTACCCTTCATATTAGCGAAATGTTTGTTATTAACAGGGTTGCTGTTATCTCATTTTTATACTTCTTTCTCTGCCCCATGCTCACCATGCTTCTTCTGAGCCCCAGGCTCTCACCAGCTTTTACTCTGCCCCAGGATCTCCTGCTCCTCTTCCGCCCTAGTCACCCCTACTTTCCCAGGTTCCCCATACTTCTCACAATGCAGATAGACACATGCAGATACACAGACTCACCCATTGACACACATGCAGATATACAAACAAACAGATTCACACTGACACACATACAGATACACACACTGCCAAACATACAGATACAGAAACCCACTGAAACACATGCAGATACACAGACTCAATGAAACATATGCAGGTACAGACACACATATACAAACACTGATGCACATGTATATACATGGATACACACACTGACCCCCATACAGTTACACACACACTGTTACACATACTGACACACATGCAGACACACATATACACAGGTGCACAGACACTCATACAGTTGCACTGATACACACACTAACACATGCAGATACACAGATACAAATACTGCCACACATACAGATATGCTGACACACGTACAGTTTCACAGGCATTGATACACACACTGAAACACATGCAGATACACCGATACAAACACAGACACACATACAGATAAACACAAATACACACGGTGACACATATAGACAGAGGTGTAACTACAACCCGACAAGCATCAATGCATAAATTGCCCTGGGGCCCTCTGTGTCTCATTCTTCCACAGCCCCACCATGGGTCTTATCCCACACCAGACCCTCCATATGTCTCATCCCACACATATCTCATACCACACCAGACCCTCCGTGTGTCTCATTCCCCTCCACCCCCTCCATGTGTCTCATCCCCCACCAGCCACTACACGTGTCTCACTCTTCCCCCTTAGCCCCTCCAAGTGTCTCATTCCCCATCCCTGCCAAGTATCTGATCCCACGCCAGACCCTCCATGTGTCTCATCCCCCAGCCCCTCCATGTCTCAACCCCACCCTCCCCAGGTGTCTCTCTTCCACAACCCAGTCCCTCCACCTGTCTCTCCCACATCTCCCCAATGTGTCTCTTTTACCCACCAACTGGCCTCTCCATGTGTCTCTCCACCATCCTCCCAGCCCCTCCATGTGTCACTCCCCCATCTCCTCATTCTCTCCACGTATCTCTCCCTCATCTCTCTATCCCCTCCATGTGTCTTTCCCCCTACCTCCATGTTTCTCTCCCTCATCTCCCCATCCCCACCATGTATCTTTTCCCCCACCATGTGCCTTCCCCCCCTCCCCACCATCTGTCTCTCATGCTCCCCTTCATGTGTCTCTCTCCCTTCCCCTTCATATCTCTCCCCTTCATGTGTTTCCCCCATTGCTCCCTACCCTCCATGTGTCTCTCCCCCATCCTCTACATGGGTCTCTCCCATGTGTCTCTCCCCCATCTCCCAATTCCTTCCATATGTCTCTCCCCATTCCTTCCATGTGTCTCACCTCTATCCCTTTCATGTGTCTCACCCCAATTCCCTCCATGTGTCTCACACCCATTCCCTCCATGTGTCTGCCCCCGTGGAGGGCATGGGGACATGTGTCTCTTCCACATGTCCCTATCCTCTCCACGTATTTCTCCCCAATGTGTTTCTCCCAGCCCCCACCCCCTCCATGTGTGTCTCCCACCCTCACCATCTCCACATATCTCTCCCATCTCCCCAAAGTGTCTCTCCTCCACCCCCACCCCCATGTGTTTCCCGAATCCCCTCATGTACTTGCTCACCTCATTGTAGTGTGGTTGAGCGACCACGGTACTCGTTCTGATAGGAAGTGCTCTGTCAGTGAGTACTCTCTGTAAGACTGCAGTCCGCTCAGCCATATTACATACAATGAGCGGAATGAGGGTAGCATTGTGCTGTGTGCTCCCCTCCAGCCAGTCACCCGGCGACCATGATAGTTTCCCCACTCCATACAGTTACAAACACAGTGGAAAATTTATTCATACTTACCGTAATTTTCTTTTCCTGGCTATTATTCATGGCAGCATATACACATGGGGTTAGCTCCTCCCCTACAGCCGATAGGACAGGAAAACCACCAAGGTTTTAAAAGGAGGCTCCATCCCTAAGGTCCTCAGTCAGTTTACAAGCTCTACAGTACATAAATAGAGACATTAATGGGTGGGAAGTATATGCTGCCATGAATAATAGCCAGGAAAAGAAAATTACGGTAAGTATGAATAAATTTTCCACTTTCCTGGCTAATCATGGCAGCATATACACATGGGGAATACCCAAGCTTACAGAGGGAGGGACAGAATAGCCAATCAAATTATCAGAATAATTCAACATAGATAGAAGAATGAACTGAGTTAAGTACTTGAGTACCAAATTGTGCATCATAGACTGTTTTAACAAACAGTATGAAATGCCAGACAAACGTGTCTAAAGAGTTTCAAATGCTAGTTTACAAAAAGTGTCAGCAGAAACCATTGCCATGGCAACCCATGATGCTGCAACAGCATGAGAGGAGAGTGCCCTGATACCCTCCAGCACAGGTAGAGAACGGACGTGACGTCCAAATTGTGCCTCATTAATTGCTTCAATGTTCAATATGTAATGCAGGACAAACTAGTTCAAAGAGGTCCAAATGCCAACTTTACAAAGCTTCAGCAGAGACCATTGCCATGGAAGCCCACGAGATGCTGTAACAGCACTAGTGGAGAATGCCCCAAATCCTTTGCTACAGGTAGAGAACGGCATTGAAAGGCTCTCACTTTAGGCACGATCACTGGTGCTACATGCAAGACAACCATATCCTGTTGAAATTCAGTGAATGGGGGTACACAGGATCAAGCCTGGAGTTCACCCATTCCCCTTCCTGGGGTACCAGCCACCAGCACTTTCTGTGCTACCACCATGGAAGCTCCTTCTAGAGGTTTGAATAATGGTTCAGTCAGGGCCCGTGAGACCAGTGGTACGTCACATATTGGCTTCACCACACTCAGTGGAGGCATGATTTCAATCAATGCCTATATGAAGCAAAGTGCAGCTAAGTGCACACATTCACCCTGCTGAGGTACCAGTCACCAGCAACAGCAACGTCTGGGCTAACATCATGGAAGCTCCTGCTAGAAGTTCAGTCAGAGTCTGTGAGACCAGTGGTACGTCACATATTGGTTTCAACACCCTCAGCGGAGGCTTGAGTTCAATTGTTGCTTACATGAAGCAAAGCACCAGGGGCATCAATGCTCAATCGGTACCCTTCAGTACAGGTAGAGAATGACATAGATAAGCATTCACCATAGGCAGGATCTTCAGGTGCCAAATGCAAGACGACCATACCTGTTGAAAAGTAGTGAAAGGGGGTTCACAGGATCAAGCCTGGAGTTCACCCATTTTCCTTGCTGGGGTACCAGCCACCAGCACTTTCTGTGCTAACACCATGGAAGCTCCTTCTAGAGGTTCGAATAATAGTTCAGTCAGGGCCCGTGTGACCACTGGTACGTCACATATTGGCTTCACCACACTTAGTGGAGGCATGATTTCAATCAATGCCTATATGAAGCAAAGTGCAGCTAAGTGTTCCTCTAGAGTGTTATAACACAGACCCTTTCAAGGCCTGAACGAGGAGTAATTCCAACAGACAAAAGCATGTCAAGCTTAGTAAAGCCTGTATAGGATTGTAAGAGGATTTCAATGAACGTCTCAGGGATGCCTATACTAATATGGCCTCCCGCATCAACACCAGAACTTGAGGATCCTGGTGTGTCATGGGGCCTTGTAATAGGTCTGGACGTACAGGAATTTCCCTTGGAGTTTCCAGAATCATCTTATTCATCATAGGAATTAGAGTCGACACGGTCTTCCACTGTCACCTTTTGCATTGCCTTTTTAAGAAGGTCGAAAACAGGAAAATATGTACATCAGACTAAAATTCTAAATTTGAGCCAGTGTATCCTGAACCTGAGCATTCTGGTCCTAGCATGTAAAAAATACTTCTGGACCTGGTAGTTCCAAGAAATGGCCATCAGATCTATGTAGGGTATCAGACAATCTGCGTCAACCACGAGGATACGTCAGGACATGGTTGCCAATCCACCTTGTCCACAGTTATTCGGCTCCAGCAAACAGCCATGGTATTCTGAGCCACTGGTTGTTCTTCTGTGCCCTGATCATTATGGGCTGGAATTCCATCAATACGTATCTGTGAGACCCATCTTGGTAGATATAGGATACAGTTGCATTGATATTTGAGCAAATTTGGACCCACTCGTTCTTCAGCAAGCCTCTGAAGTGAAGAAGAGTCTTGAAAATGACTCTTAATTCCATACAAATGAATGGAAATATTGTGCAACATGGTCCAAACACTGTGTAACCAATCTTATAAAAACTGGAATTCGAGCTAATAATTGACCAATGAGGTTCTGTTCACTGGAAACTCAGATCTAATCCCTCTTTCAGCTGCCAGGGTAAGGTGCAACTCCACTGATGGGGACATAGTAAGTGGCTGGCACCAATAATCTTTCTCTTGTTAGACCAAGATAGGAAGGATCTGTAAGGAATCCAGAGATGCCATTGGGCCCATCTGACAAGTCTGCTGGTGGAAGCCAGGATTCCTAGTAGTTGCCTCTATTTTCTTGCTGTTACCAAGCAGAAATGAAGAAACTGGGAGAGAAAACCTTTACAATCTGTGGAACTGTTCCCGAGAGAGGGAAAAGCAGAGCCTAGAATTTTCCACTCAGGAATGTCAACCACTGAGCTGGTCATCAAGCATATTCATCAAGCAGCCAAACTTTAGGAGTTATGAAAGAACTATATACCTATGTGTGCCTGCCTTCTGAGGGTCTAAGGCTATCAGAGGTAGATCCTCCAGATAATGGAACCAGGTGGAGTTCTGGACTCTCAATAACACTATAAGCAGATAGAAAGATCCTTGGGGCCGCATTGAGGCCAAATGGTAGGGCACTAACATGGAAGTTCTCTTCTGAGCTAATGCTGAAGATCTCTGTAGATTGGACTGAAAGTAAGCATCCTTGAGATATATAGAGGTAAGGAAATTATCCTTCCAGATTGCTTGAGATATGGATCTGATTGACTCCATCCCGAAGACTCTAACATTCAGCCTCTTGTTGGCCCCTCTTAAGTCCAGTGTAGGCTTACATGTGCTTTTCCTCTTAGCACCAGAAGAGAGGCGAAACTTGTCCCTGGAACTGCTCTTGTTCTGGGACCTAAAGTATTTTTTATTTTCACCTCTTCGTCTAGAAGGCTTCTTCCTTCAGTGTTTTACCTTTTGATTCATTGGTCTTAATACTCCTGTTGGTATGGAGACTCCTGTGCCCGTTAAGAAAAAACTCCAGTCTATATCAATCTGGACCATGGATACCACTCAAGCCTCCAGAGTATGACAAGCCCAGGTATGTGTGATCAGAAAAATGAGGCTCCTAGTACTGGAGGAGATATGTTCATTGCTGAAGAGCAAAACGACTGCGTTATAGCTCCATTAGAACCTTGAAAGGCAGGTTTACCAACTGCCATGAGTTACCTCTGGAGTATTCCCTGCAGGGCCAGTAGCACAATGTATCTCAGAAATACTGGTCACTGGAGGTTCTCCGGTCAGACTATGAGGAGCTGGGATCCTTGGAACTTCTATCCTAAGGTACCAATATCTTGCAGCCCTCATTCACCTTTTCAATGGAATTATCAGACGTTTTCCCAAACAGCACCACCCCTTCAAATAGAATGGTGTAGAGGGCAGACTTGGAGGATGAGACCTCATCCCAGAAACAGAACCATAATGCTTTCTTAGTTGCTATAGATAAAGCCATTTGATCCAGAGAATATCCTAGTTACATCTAGGGAAGTTTCTGTGAAGAAATCAGTTGTAACCTGAAGACTTCAGACTGCATCTTCAATCTTGGCTTTTAATATCTCTCTCCATAGTAGCCTTTAGATCTTTAATCACATATTTCATGTTTGTAGAAACAGCAGTGGAAATCACAGCTGGCTGACCACCTGCAATGGTAGGCGCAAAATTTTGGACAGGTCTGCGTCCACCTATGATCCATAAGTGTGCAACTTTGGTGGTGTAGTTCTGGGGTTGGAAATAACTTCCTCCACATGGTAAAGCCTGGCCTCTTTTTTTACCCCTGAGGCCTCTGGAACTTACTTTGTAGGCCCTGCCTGCATGTCATGTGGCTGCACAGTGATAGGTCATGCTGAAGCGACAACCTTCTGGAGGAAGTCAGTGCATAACCGATTCCATCCACTGTTTTCTCCTCATAACCAGATCCTGGTGAAAAATCAGACACCTGACAAATAACTAAATATTACCTGTGGTAAAGTATTAAGAAAAAATGTGCACTGTTAAATTATATAAGAAACCAGCGAAACAGCTTTAAAACAGGCTGAAGACAGCACTTATCCATGTCTGGAGACCCTGCAAATACTTACACCAATAAGTGTATGTTTACTGTAAGTTTCCCTTTATTTTAGGCACTTTCTGGCAATTGCCCTTATCCAAGATGGCTGCCACAACTTGTATTCCCACAAGTCATCTGTATTAGGCCCAATAAGGCACAAACTGCACACATGTGGGCCTATTCCGAGTGTGTTTGCTGTTTAGAGACCAGGAAGAGGACTCTGTCTGAAGCCTACATGGCCCCTAAACACCCAGGAAACCAGGAATAAATCACTGGGACCGAGGGGGAAGCAAAATCGATAAAAAAAGTGGCTGCAAGGAAGTTTAAAAGGCAACCACGTGCAAAAAGGTCAAAGTTTAAAGGCACCACAGTCTAAAGGCCTCAAGGTATAAAAGGTAAAACAGTTTTCAAATCTAACACAGTTTCCAAAATGTAACAGTTTTTAAAATATATCAGTCTTCAAATGCACTGCAGTTTTCCAATGCACTGCGGTTTCCAATGACTTGCGGTATTACATGCAACAGAATTAAATGCCAATTTAAATGAAACAGTTTTAAATGCCACACAGCTTAAATGCCACACAGCTTAAATGCTTCCTAGCAAAAGCACAACCGCATAATGTACCACAATCTTAAAAATAAGGTACAGCTGTATAATGCACTAGTTTAACCCCTTAAGGACACATGACATGTGTGACATGTCATGGTTCCCTTTTATTCCACAAGTTTGGTCCTTAAGGGGTTAAAGATATCAAAGCTTAAATGCATCACAGCATAAAAGCACAACTGCATAATGTACTACAGTAAAACAGCAAATAAAGTAATGAAGATAAAACAACATACATGTCCATAAGTAAAGGGAGCAAATTGCTCACGTCCTAAGGGCTGTAGGACAGGAAAAAGACTGAGGACCTTAGGGATGGAGCCTCCTTTTAAAACCTTGGTGGTTTTCCTGTCCTATCGGCTGTAGGGGAGGAGCTAACCCCATGTGTATATGCTGCCATGATTAGCCAGGAAAATGGAACACATACAGATGTATAGATACACAGATACTAACACTACCACACATGCAGATACAAACATGACACACACTCCGATGTACAGACAACAGACCCAGATACAGACATACAGATACACACTAATACAAACAATGATACACACTCAGATACACAGACATACAGATCAAGATACATAGACATACAGATCCAGATATATATATATATATATATATATATATATATATACACACACACACAAACTAATACAAAGAATGACACACACTCAGATGTACAGACAACAGACCCAGATACAGACATACAGATACACACACACTGATAAAAACAATGACACACACTCAGATGCACAAACAACAAACCCAGCTACACACCTACATATACACACACTGATACAAACAATGACACACTCTCAGATGCACAGACATACATATACACACACTGATACAAATAATGACGCACACAGATACAGACATATAGGTCCAGATACATAGACATACAGAGCCACACACTGATACAAACACTACTTACATACAGATACCCCAAAACACACAGAACAGTGAACATATTAGCCCTCCAGTTTCCTACCTTATGGGAGAAGGAGGGTGGCTTCTGCTAGCTGGAGGTGGTCGGAGTTGGGAGGCACGCAGAGCCAATGGAGCTTAATGTATAATAGAGGCGGAGTTAACATGCAGGGGGTGGTGTTATCTGTGAGGAGGTGGGGTATATCGGCAATGGTGCGGAATTATGATGCCCCAGTCCTGCAGTTTGAAGCTTCACAACTTTTCAACTTGCCATGAGTGTGTCAGCTGTAGAGTGACTGAGCGCTTTAAAGAAAATGGTAGATATATTCTTTAGGAGTTGTTAAAGCTATTAATGACAGGCAGCAGTGCACAATGCTCTGTATCAGAAATGCCCAGTCCCCTTGTCACCCCTGGTCTTCCCTGGCTTTTTATATATTAATTCTATATTTGAGCAAATTCCCTTTGCTTTATCAGGCAGTCACTAGTGCTATTATGGGAAAGAAAAAGATGATAGTCTACACTTACATTTGGCAGTAGCAAGGAGCTGCTGCTATGCTCTCTCTGTGTTACGTCCAAGAGGGCTTTTTGCTTCTCTCTACTGTGGGCACTGCAACCCCAATAGCATGCCTCCACTCATGAGCAGCTGGCCCTGCTGTCCAAATGGCAACTTAATGGGAATTCCTGAAATCCGATCTTAAACGAGAGTAGGCATGTGCAAAACCTACTGAAACAGGGCAGAACTCAAACCAACCCTTTTTGACATGGCTAAATGCTCTCAAGCATGGTTTGCTGCTGCTTATTAACATGTTATTAAATGTACATTTGAACCTACAATTTAGAATATTTTTTTGTAAATAACTCTGTTATTACCTATCCCTCTAAACAAAGCTGCATATTTAAGGTACATTTTATATAACACGTTCGAAGAAAATATTTTATATTAATATTAGATTCAATATTCCCTCATTTGTGAAAGCCTTTAACTTGTAGGACAATATCTATAAAAGTACAACTATGTTTCAGTAAAATGATATTAAACCATGAGAGTTATGTATTAATGTGAGAATTTAAAGTGAATTTAAAATTGGAAAAAATCATGCAAGTCTTTTGGTAGTTTGCCAGTCTAGCATTATATTCTGAATGTATTTCAACACTGTAATACATTTCTTGTGTTAACATTCCAAATTCTCAGAAGTAAAAGTTGTTGGACTTGGAGACTCTGACAAATTGACCATACTCAGAGGATGTCCGGGAATCCCAGGATCTCCTGGTCCTAAAGGAGATACTGGTCCATCAGGGGATAAAGGTAAGTGTGGATCCTATTATCTTAAAGAGAGCAAGTGAAATCATCTAAAATGATAGCAAGTACAAATTATCCAATAGAAGCAAAACAATTAAAGAAAAATCTGTATATAACTTATATATAATGTAAAGAAAATTCTGTATATAACTGATGTTATATAATGTAGAATAGAAAAAATATCTATAGTCCAAATGATAATAAAAATAATAAAATATGTTTGTTCAAACATGGACACATTGAAATGAATAAACTCATATACAATCGACAGTGAGAACAAAAATGTATCGATAATGTAAGAACAGAGATGCCATTTCAGAAACAAAAGAAAATAATAAAACCTTATAAAACAAGTCTAAAATATTTATTGAAGTGTGAAGTGTTGGAAATTCACAGCGAAAATAGTTTTCCTTTTAGTTTATTTTGATCTAAAGCATGGAATTTATATTGAATTCCAAACAATTCACACTTTTACAAATAACCATGCCACTGACCTTTATATTAAAGCAGCACTGTCATGGCTCTCCATTTTATTTTTCCCCCCCAAATGCTTCGAGGACCCCCATTTCACTTTTTTTTTTAATGCTTCATTGCTTCTCCAGGTCTATGTCCAAGGTGCCGCCATCTTTGTGTTCCCGGATGGTGTGTACTGCAGGGCCTTCAACTGCCCACACTAGCTAGCGCTGAGAAATTCCTGTACATGCCCACTGTAGACTTGGGATTCACTAATGTACAAATTTCAGATCGGAAATTCGGCCATTCGGCCATCCATCTGGAACACGAAAGAACAAATAGAAATTACATGTGTCTTCTTTCGTCTTAGTTTATTACAAGGATGGAGCTACCGACTCTTGTCTCCCTCCTTGTAATTTGTAATAATAAAAGCAGCGGGAGTTGTGTTCTCCACCACTTCTTAAATCCTCCCCATGCCTCCCCTCAATTTATGGGGGTCAATTTGACTCTCATATTAGTATAAGGGAGACTAAATTCTCCCTCCTGCCCCTACTCATTGGGCCACAAGTAGAGGCATGTCTAATAAATAGTGAGCAGCGTGGTGGGTGCAGGGTACATGATGTCCCCCCATTATTACTTAGGACACCCACCTGCCGCTAATGAGTAGGGTCTCGGGGGAAAATAGATCCCTCATTATTACTTAGGGACCCCACCCACCCACCCAATTAATATTACAATATTACTAATAACCTTTACTCGCAGGGCACGGGTGGGGCTGGAGGTGGACACTATGTCCCCCCTGTTAATTATTTTAATAGGTGCTCCACTACCCTTCATTGCATTGGGGGGGGTATTTTTTTTTTTTCAACAATGAGCAGTCACTGGCGACTCACTGTTTAGCAGAAATGTCCCTATTCACAGCACAGCGAGGGAGAATTTAACCTCACTTATTTAATACTAAGTATTGTTTTACTTAGTATTAGTAAATTGGTCGAAAGACCAATTTTGGTCTTTCAGCTTTTTAGTAGATAGCTCCCTAATACTTTGGGATTGCGAATGAAAGCAATTGGGAAAAGGTAAATACGGCATGACAGTGCCATTTTAACTAACCTATTTCATATTATTTGGATTAGTTATATTTAGATAGATTCTTCCTATTTTTTTGTCTCAATAACACTGTTTCTATAATCATTCTGATTACAGAGATAAAGATTAGATCGTATAGTAACCACTAGCTACAGTTATGTTCTTGTTTGTTTCCTCAATGCAGGGGTAGCCAGAGCCTTATCTCTTAAATTTTTGTAGAAGTACTTTTTCCACAAATTTTCATGGAATTTGTAGTCCACCAGGAACTTAAGAACTATGATGGAATGGGTGAGCCGGCCAATAAGTCAGCAGACAGGTATTGTGCAGGGACTATGCTTGGTCTGCATCGAATGGGTTTGTGCATGGTCTGGTATCTCAATGACACAGCGGGATATATTCCAGTGAAATACAGTATCTGAGGCTCAACCAGACTGCCAAAATATGAGGACTAGGTATAATGTCTCTGGAGGCATTTACCAGTAACCAACGGGTTAGATGAGACTTTGCTCATGAATTCTATTTTTCATGTTGACAATGGAGTTGTGGGAAACAAAACCTGTGTGTCCTAGTCATGCATGGAACTCTGTGAATGCTTTGTTATAAAGTTTTTTTTCATCGTATATTGCACTTTGTAGCTTTTAGGTATATTTGACTACATTTTGTGTGTAAATCATGTATTTATTTCAGGGCAAATAGGAGCTGCGGGGAAGTCTGGGCCTCAAGGTGAAAAAGGTAGGAGACATTAACTCTATGCATTTGTTTGAGAGTTTTTGAAATAACTGAGGCATACATTGAATTAGTGTCACGGTTGCTAGTGTGGTCCAACACGCAGAAACTATTTAAACATATACATAAAAAAGGAAATAAAAGGACAGAGCGTAAACCGGACCTAAGAATGGCCGGACTAATACGCTAGAGATAGAGAATGGACAATGGGAAAGCCGAGGTCAAGGAAGCCAGAAATACTCAGATACAAGCCAAGTCAGGGGAACCAGAATTCGGAATAACCAGGGAAAAGCCAAGATCAGGATACCAGGAAGTCAGATTCAAGATAAACGCATTCTCAGGAACAGGAAACCACAACAGGGCAAGGAACTGGAGTGAATTAGGGATTTAAATATCCCTCTCTGGGCTCTGATTGGTCAGAGGGTGACCTCTGACCCCAGAACGTGCGTGTGCGTAGTCACGCGCACGTCCGTATAAATTTGAGGGGCGGAGCTTGTGATTTGCACGACCACGTGGTCAGCGCCATCTTTGATCTGGGCGCAACGCCCAGAAGACGCAGGGGAGCGGTTCCCGGCTCGCCGACGAGCAGGGAAGCTCGCAATATCGGCGATGTCGTGCCGGTCTGTCACAGCTGCGCCATGTGGCGGGCCGGGAGCCATAACAATTAGGTTAAGTGTCATTGGCAAGTTGGATAGCCTTGACGCAACAAAACTATTACAATAACTGAGATCTAACTGTAATAGCTAAATCCATGCAAAATTCAAACGGCCAGCCTCAAACAGGAGAGTTCTACCTGTAACGGACCAAGGGTTACCTACCTGGTTACCTCCGCTAATTCCTACACTTAGCCAATTTGAAACCACTAAAACAAGCAGACATTAATTCCCCCCAGTAACCAGACGAAACATAGTTCTGGGAGACAACCAGGGCTCGAGTTCTGCAGGAACGCGTGAGAATGGCGTTTCTGCACTTTTTTTACAGCAGAAACGCTGTTCCCGTTGCTCCTACAGGCACTCAGGGGGCGGAAAAATTGCCCCCCGTGTTCCCCTGTCATTGGGGGGGTCTAAGAGGTGGCTTGATGGCCACCTGATGGATTCCCCCCCTGGCGGGCACCTGTCTTCCTGTCAGACATGGAAAGGGAGCTCTGTTCTCTCTGCCCCCTCGCACACCATTTACTGATGCTGGGAGACGGAATATGACGTCATATTCCGGCTCCCAGCATCAGTAGACAGCCCGCGCAGCGAGAGGGAGCAGAGCAGAGAGAACAAAGCTCCCTTGCCACATCTGACAGGGAGACAGGTGCCAATCGCACTGAAACCCCAGGGACAGGTCCATGCCAGCTCTCCAGGTGGGGAGGCTGTGTGGAAATTTTTACATTTTAAAAACAATTCATGGGAAATAGGGTCCTGGCCGGTCTCTGTTCGGGGATTCCTGAGCGAACACCATGCTAGGGATTCTCCTAATTTTAGGGTATGAATTCTCCCCCTGTTAGGTAGTTTATATCTCCCGAACGTTGTTCGCATAGTTGGTTGGGAAGTAGAACATGCAGTGGTCTAATCTTTACTGGGGTTTGTGCGAGCACCTAGCCGAAAAGAGTTGCAGGAACTCGACGACCAAATACCGCTGCCCACGTTTGGAAGACAAAATGGACGCCATTCTTTTGTCGACCACGTGCATTTGGTTATACGACCACCAAGGGGAAGCCTTCATTAATTACTTCCCTTGTGGTTTAGCACTTAAGTTGATGGTGTGAACGTTCTAATGGGATGGTCCTTAACAGGGGTGGTCCTCATTCGGGAGATGAATGGAGGAGGTTCGCATACAATATGAAATGTACTAGGTTGGCAGATATAGGGATATTTATACCAGGATCATTTTAATAAACACTTCTTTTTTTTTTTTTTAACAGGGCATCATGGGGAGAAAGGAAATCAGGGGGAGAAAGGTGAGTTCAGTAGAAACAACATAAAGGTAAAAAGAAATTACTATTGCAAGAGGAAGAAAATGATAAAAGCAACATGTGCACATTATACTCAATCTGTACATGGTAACACTTTTAAGTTTAAAGGAACACTACAGCGTTGGGACTAAAAACCTATATTTCTAAACGTCTCTTCTTCTTTTAGATTTAGCCCCCACCTCCAAATCTAAATAAAAACTGGGGGGTGGGGGGGTGCTTTATTTTTTATTTTATTTTTTAAATGCCGAGATCTCTGCTGTGGCTTGATATGCCTCCCTTGATGTTACACCAACCCTTCTAAAGTCTAATCCAATTCTCCCCATAGAGGGCATTGGAAACTAAAACCATATTCACAGTAGCATTGCGCTCTTATTGGCCAGCTTCTCACAGCGGCAGCGCCTCTAATGGCTGTTGAAAATCACTGGAGTCCTATTTAACCCTGCAATGTTATCATTGCTGTTACTACTAAACAGCAATGCTTTACGTTGCAAGGTTAATACGAAAGGACCACTGCATGCAGACCACCAATGAAATGAAGTGGAGAATTCCAGATGAGGCTTACTTTATGCCACCTAGGTCTTTTTTTTTATTATACAATCTAAAGACCAAGATACCATTTCACATGCTCGTATAGTTATTTCACCTATTATTAAAGTGAGATTTTGTAATTTGCATTCTAATAATACAGTTAATTATCTTGAAGGCAATAGATACATCCTCATATATGACAATGTCAGCTCAACACTCTGCAAAGACATGACTGTTTCCTAAGTGGTAGGGCTGGGGTCTTAAAAATACAAAAACCCGTGTTGGGCAGTGTTTTGGGGTTTATGTACAACTCTCCCATTGTAATCAACAAGGAGACGAAGAGTGGCTGAAAATCTTCTTTTTCATGAAACTGTAGAATTGTAGCAAGCAAGGATAATTCAGGGGAGAGTGTATGTTTTAGGAATATTGGTTTTCTGTACTTTAGTGATGTCCCAAACGGTTCGCCACGGACTCCAGTCAGCAGACACATTCCAGCCAATCAGCAGCAGACCCTCCCTCCCAGACCCTCCCACCTCCTGGACCGCATCCATTTTGAAGCTGCATTCTTAGTGAGCTGGGAGGGTCTGGGAGAGGTCTGCTGCTGATTGGCTGGGATGTGTCTGCTGACTGGAGTCCGTGGCGAACCGTTCGGCGAACTGTTCGGGACATCACCACTGTACTTTTAATTATCATTTTATCTTTATATTTTTAATGCTAAAATATCAGTTAATTATACGTAGTCCATGTTATGGCATCTGAAAATAAACATTTTTATTTTATGTTTTTAACCAACAGGAGAGAAAGGAGAATTTGGCCCTGGACCTGACTCATTATACGGTGTGTGTGTGTGTGTATATAGTTTTATTTTTCTTAAGCAAATGAATGATAACAACATATTACGCAAATTGTGTACAGAAATGATAACACAACATATAAAATAGTTCAGATTATTTAATAAGGATACATTTCCACTTTCCTGATGAGTGCTATTTGAATGGAAGATAAAACTGATCCACGTGGCCTCTGGATTCTCCCACATGTGTGATGGTATTGATGCACATTTGTGTCTAGCTTAACACGAGAAATGTGGCCATTGCACATAGTACAGGGTACCGACATGATTACTATGCAGTAGCTGAGAAGCTATTAATGCTTAAAAAGTCAGTACTGATAAATAATGAGTAGGATGTCTCTGTAGTGACAGCACTCTATTTCATTATGAATAAATAAAAAGATAAACAATTGAACATTTTTATTGTGGGCCTTTATCAAAGTATGGGCCTGACGTTGTCGCCCACATTCTTTTTAACTTCAATAGGCAAATGATTTTCTGAGAGAGAAAAAAACTCATTTTAGTGAGGTATGTTGATGATAGCATAGTTTTGCAAACATGCTTCTCATTGGAAGATATCCTAAAATGGTCAGGGTTTAGGGCTAAATAGATGGACCCAAATTTAAATGTAGACCTCTTCTAGACAAAATTCCACTTGAGCAGTTTAGATACAAGGATTAGAATATCTTGAGATGGCTCAGAATTACTGAATGAAAGTGTGTGGCAATATTTGAAAATGTGTTTACCGAAGGTGCCCAATGTAACTTGTATTTGCATTAGCATTTTTAATATTGTCATTACAAATGGGTATAACTGGTAGGGAATTCCCAAAGATTCCTCTACTTGATATTGATTCAACTGATAAATATTTATTCATCCAACGAATAAATTAAAAGCTCTATCAAAACTATTTTAAATTCTTTATTTACAAGGCATCAGAAAATGTCAATTACAATAAAGATGAACACATCAAAACAGCTATACAAGCAAGAAACATACAATTTTATAACACTATTAAGACAAGAATATTACAAATGCACCCTACTCCAGGTTCTAGTGGTGATTGTGTTCTATTAGTTTCGAGTTTCCAAGCCAGCACGGAGGTGGTATAGGTGGAAGGAGGGAAGGCGTACCTACAACACAATAAGTGACCCTTGTGTTTCAGACCAACACCAATCCAAATCGCAATTTTTTCTTTTCTGTGCTTGCCACAGAACTAATTATTGCATCTATGAATTTTATTTTATCACTAGAACACACTGGTCTTCTGACTCCTAATGTTCATTTAGTATATCAAAATAATCCACTATCTATGAGGGGATACAGGGACATGGTAGATTAGCCAGTTAGTTTACATTGAAGCTAGATTAAGAGACAACTCGTGGGTAACATTTCACACCTGGCAGAGGAACTTTGGTTGGAATCACAGCTGCAAATGAGGAATTCATGTTATAAACCGTCTGACATCTATTGAAATGGGTCATACCACCTCTACTAGGTAGCCAAATTATGTATGCACTACAGAAATTACATTAAATTAGTAATATTCTGTGGTGCAACAATTAATTATGCATACAGAATAAGTGGAAATCAATAGATTAATCTATATTAATTACTTGTTGTAACACAACAAACACGGACATAACTAAATGAGGTAACTACTTGTTATAGGCACTGTTTGACATAACATCTCCTGCAGCGTCCCATTTCATTTTATTGTCTCTCTCAGCTGCCAGGAACTGTAAAGAGCTGCTGGACCAGGGAATAGTACTTAGTGACTGGTACACTATATACCCGGATGGAAAAACCCCCTTGAAGGTGCTGTGTGACATGCATACTGATGAAGGAGGTTGGATTGTAAGTTATCCTCAATGATCTATCTTAACAAAGTCTTCGAGCTCTCCAC